CGTCAACTCTGTCCTATAGAGCCAGTATGAATAAAAACAGATTAAATGGCAGTGGCTTTGATTTTTTGGCTATATAATATAGGGTGGGATTAAGACCTTCAGAGACCATAAACCCTGAGAAGATTGGGGTTGAAAGGCTTTCGGTATGTAAATATAGTCAAGAGGCACTACAAAAGTGGGAGTGTAGAAAGCCACTGGGGGCATAAAAGTAAAGGAGCCGATTGGGCCAGGGTGGATCTCCCTACCACATAAAGGAGTTGGAAATTTTCTATTGGCAACTAGAAATCAGTGGAATTTTTGAAGTAGAGGAGACCCATGTTCAGTTCTGTGTTGTAGAAAGATCACCAGGGCAGCTGTAAGGAGGATAGATTGGAAAAGTCTAGTCAAGGATAGTAGAATGTGTCAGGTGCTGACTTCAGGCATCCAGGTAAGAGGATGGAGGAGGCCAGAAATGTAGAAATAGCTGGGAGAGTGGGGAGAATGGAGGAGAGAAATGTGAGAAATGGTGAAGACTATAATCAATAGGATTTGGTGGTTGATGTTTCCAATTGAGTCACTAGGTCAACATGATGCAGTTATCAGGGTAGGTATGGAGAAGGTTTGTGAGGAAGAAAAACAGTTCAATTTTGGGATGAGATTGAGATACCTATCAGAAAAATTTTAGGCTGGAAATATAGCTCTCATTATCTCATGTATTCAATACAAATTTGTAGGACTGACAAAGAGGAGATGGCATTTAATTTTACAAAGTAAGAACCTTAAAGAAACAAAATAACATCATCAACGCCATCTTAGAAAAGAAGAAGAAGAAGAAGGGAGAACAGTTCACCACCAAAAAGATAAGAAGGACAGGATCTTGGAATGAAGGGCATTCCTTTATAATTGAATACATTTATATTATTGAAAAACTCTACTACTGATGTTTTTCTCATTTTGCTACGAGTCACTTAAAATATCGCTATTGTTCAGCCTCATTTGTGGATTGTAATTTGAGAATCACTTTTTTGAAGAATGGGCAGAGGAAAAGGCCAACAAAAGAAACCAAGAGGAGAATTTCAGAAATGAAAACTTGGGCCAACAATATCTTTTGCCACCCAGAGTTCAAAGAGATAATAATCATTGAGTTTGGCAATTAGGAGGTCATTGGTGACCTTTGGCAGTGCCCTTTCACTAGAATGATGGAGCTGGGGCCAAACTGCAGTTGGTTGAGGTGTGAATGGTGAATTGGGGAAAGTCTAGAGTGTAGACTCTACTTTCAACAAATTTGAGGGTAAAGGAAAGAAGAAAGAGAAGAAAGAGGGCAGGAGAGACAGAGAAAAAGAGATTGTGAGAGAGAGAGCACATTAAGGGTACAAGAGAACACATCTGGAGAGGGAGTGTGCTTGTTTTATTGGCTAACAGAAGCAGAAAAATTATAAACTGAAAGGAAAGAGCAGATATTGATAGAGTGAACATTCCTGAAGAGAAGAGACATAACCTCTAGAGGGAGAGCTCTGAGAAGGAGGGTGGACGAGGTCAAGGCCCAGGCAGAGCGATTAGACTTTAACTAGAGGGGCACCTTGTCCCCTGAAAAGGGAGGGTTGGAGGGGAAGGAAGTTGGAGAGGCAGGCCAATTTTGGGGGGTGGGGCAGGGCACTGAGGTAATTCATGCTTGAAGGCCTCTGTTTTCTCAGGGAAGTAGGAGGAGAGCTTGTTCCATGCAGGGAGAGGGGTGGGGCAGAGACATGGTAAGGAGCTGAAGGAAGTTTGGAATGTGGCCCAGAGAAATGTGGAGGCTGAAGCTCGGTGCTTGACAAGGGAGCATGCTCAAGGATGACTGAGGGGCATCAGGACCCAACTGAGATTTATAAATCTGTCTTCCCCTATACTGGTCTTGTTACCCTTGCTAAGCTGTCAGCACTTACTGGAGGCAATGTCCACAGCACCTTCCTCTTTCCAGCCCATAATTGGCAACGCCAAGCAAGCAAAGTATCTGGCCCTGAAGAGGCACCCAAGGGTGCAAAGCAATCACAGACAAAATGCAGAGGTGCTAGAGGACTATTAGGGGAAACAGAGATTGAATCACAACTACCCTAAAAGGAAATTCTTTATTTTGATTCATCCATGCTGGCAACTTTCATCTTTCTTCCTATTCTGTGCTAAGTGAAAAGGAAACCAGCCAAGCTCCCACTTTTGCCTAGCAACACTTGCCGGCCTTAAATACAGTAGGCTGGAGGTAGAGTGGGCCACAAGAGGAGCTAGCGGCTTCATCTGCCACAAGCTGAATGAGACTGAGGTAATTCTGAGGAGGCATCAAGAAAGATTGGGTGGGTAGCCAGGAGACTCTGCTGGCGACTGTGAGTAAGGAGAACCCTGAGGCTTGTTAGCTGAGGGGAGAGAAAGAACTGGACAGTCCCAAACATAAATGGCTGTGGATGAATGAACCCAAGTCCAAGGTGGGAGGTGGCATGATGGTTGACATGCCTGAGTCTAACTGGGTATGAGCCCTGGGATCAGGAGGAGTGACCTCTGCCCCATCTCCTTCCTCCCTCCTACCTATTTTCACAGCCCATGGCCACCTACAGATCACAAAGATCCCAGGATGTGACATTAGGTCTGTTGCCAACCCTGTAGTGTCTCCTCTTTCAAATCCCAGTGTTTTCAGCCTCCCTCCTTTCTCGTAGCCTCATTTTAGCCAATGATGCAATGTAAACAAACTCTCATCTCCTCGAGGTAAAGGTAGCCTCAGAGACTGACAGAAGCTCAAACTCCTCAGCAGTCTCTTCTTCCCCTCACCACCCGGATTTTTCTCTTCAGGATTCAGCTGCACTTACACAATTCAGAGACAAAGAGCTTGCCCCAGTTCAAGGCAGCACGTTACACTGGACTTACTTCACTGCACATAATAAATCACTGTTTATTGAGGCCCGGGACAGAGCCAGGCCATTGGATTAGGTGGTGACTGGCTCTTAGAAAGTTTTCCTTTCATTGAGCCAAGCTGTGTTTTCCTGTCTCTTCCACCCATGGGCCCTAGTCTTTCCGTTTGAAGTCACACAGAACAAGTGAAATTTCATTGAGTTTAATTCTGAAATATTTGAAAATGACTTACTTGCCTCAAGAGTCCTGCTGTTTTCCTTGGAGAAACAAGTCTTGCTTTCATACCTTTTGTCTTTATCTGTCTTTACTTGTGTTTGTCTTTATTGTTATTACCCATATAATGTCAGTTCATCATGGAAGTTTGTGGACAATGTAGTAAAGCATAAAGAATTCAAATCTACCATACTACTACTCCGAGAATCAACTATTGTAACATTCTCTTTACTTCTGACTGGACTTCCTTTCTCTGTGTATTCTATGTTCTACTGTTTTTGTTGTTTTTTCTGACCAGAATAGGATCATCTTACAAGTGATATTTTAGAGGCCATCCCCCGCCTTTAAAAAAAAAAACAACTCTTCAATATATTAATTCTCCCTTGTTCTTTGCACATGTCTGTTTTTTTTGTGTGTGTGTGTGTACAGTCTTATGTTAATTGAAATTTTATCCCTGCTCAATGATTTATTTAATCAGCTTTTTAAAGTAAACCATTTAGGTTGTTTCCATTTTCCTTTGCTACAAAACCCATAGTGGGGCCGGATTTTGAAGTGGGGTACATCCTAGAACATGATGATGCTTACTTTTTGGTTGTAAGGACGCACCCTCACTGATGTAACTGGTCTCCTGTTAGGAACCCTGGTGGCACAGTGGGTTAAGAGCTGGGCTGTGAACCGCAAAGTCAAACCCACCAGCCGCTCAGAGGACAGCACTGAGGCTGTCGGCTCCAGTAAAGATTTACTGTCTTGGAAACCCTAAGGGGCTATCCTAGAGGGTCGCTATGTGTTGGAATTGACTTGGCAGCCACGGGTTAGTTGGTCTTCTATTATTAGACATTAGAGTTGTTTCGAACTTTAGATGACTACAAACTAGGCTGTGATGAATATCAAAGAAGCTGACTCTGTGCTGGTGCTGGACTCTGAGTTCAGGAGAATATTTTCAACATCTCTAAAATCTAAGGAGCCTTCTAGTTGTAACTGGAAGCTTTTTTGGCAAAGGCCCAGTAGGCTTGCTAAAGCAAGGGCTGTGCCTCTGGGTTTGCCTGGGGTCAGTACCCATTTACCCAGGCCCAGTCACAGAGTGTTCGGCCTGGCAGGACCCTTTGGGGCCACCGAGCCAGCACCCTCATCTCACACATGAGGGAACTGAGACCCAGGGGCCAGTTCAGCAGCTTAGTGGCTGGGCAGAACTCCTCCTCCCTACAGCATCTTGGCTCCAGGATTTGAAGCCTAGCCCTGAGATTTGGAAGCTGACTTTGAGGCCCTGTAAAATCCTTCCTGACCTCCTTCACTGGACCACTCAATTGCTGAGGCTGAAGAGGGATTTCAGGCTCTTTTGCAAATGAATGGCCAGGAGGAGAGGTGGGTGGTTAGAAAGAAAACTTAAGGTTTACTCCACAGGCCAGAACCTTCTTTTTTGCTAACCCAGGTGATGTGCTTAATGGCCGGCATCAAGTCCACCTGGCAAATCTATTTGGGGCTTAAGCTGAAATAACATGTGAGTCCCTCATTCTCTTCAGACAGCTGTCGGTTCTGAGGCCTGTCTATCCAGTCTTCTGTCTCTGACAACTTTTCATGGTTTTGGGTGCTAATGAGCTCCCCTCCTCTCCTCACTCAGACCTTGCTACTGCCTGGGGAATTCTCACAAATGGTGTCTTATTTGTCCCTTCTGTGTTTTCCTTTCTGACTTGGAGGTAAAGAAAGCCCCTCACCCCCCCACTGACACCCTGTTTATTCAACTGGGAGAGATTTCACACCCAGGAACCCAGCGACCCTTCCCTGAGCTCCTTCCCTAAATCTTCATCCTCCTCCCAGCCACCTCCCCTTTTCCTGAATAATTTATGAGCCCAGTCAAGGATTATAAAAGGGTCTCCCAGGAAAGGCCAGAGACTCGGAGACCCCACAGCCTGCCTAAACTTAGCACTATAAGGATGGATTGTGCTGGTTCTGCTGCTGTTGCCCTAGCTCAGGCCCAGGCACAGGAGCCCCTGGCATTCCCTGATCAGTTAAGTCCATCTCCCCTTCTCCTGTCTGGACAAGAAGTACACGGGAATGAAAGGTAAGTGGAACTGGAGTTCCTTGGAGGGGAAGGAAAATGAGGTGTCCAGGGTATCGCTGTTCTCTATGATGGGGAAAAGCCAAGGCTTCACAGCCCACAGAGCGTACCCTCCTCCACATATCAAGCTGGAATATCTCATCTGACTTTCACCTTACTGGGAGGCAGGAGGAGATGTGTGCCAAAGCTGAAAGCCAAGCAGCCAGGTCCTCTTGGGTGAGGTTGCTGATCCCCTGAGGAGCACAGAGAAGATAGTTGTGGAAGGTGGGTTTAACACTACTGGTGTGACACTGTAGGATAAGGACAGGGCTGGAGCTGCAAGGTCAGAGGTTCAAACTCACCAGCCGCTCCTTGGAAACCCTATACAGGGTTGCTCTGAGTCCGAACTGACTGGACAGCACTTAACAACAACAGTGCCAGTATGGCGCTATAGGATAAGCACTGGACTGCTAACTACAAGGTCAGTGGTTCAAACCACTGTCTTCTCCTTGGTCATTATGATTTGGAACCGACTCAACAGCACTGAACAACAAGACTTCAGAGAGGGGGGAAAGGGAGTGTCAAGTGCAAAGAGGGTTTGACTGGGTCACTGTCTCTTTGTAAACCACACTAGAAGATTCCCAATTGTATTTTCTAACCTCTGAAAGTCTAGTGGGGAATCAGTGGGGCTAGGAGTATTTCGGACCCCTTTCCTCAGACCAGGAAGATGGTAGGGCTCTGAGGTCTGTTCTGTGGAGGAGAAGATAGGAGTCAAAGTTTTTATCTACCCAACCCTCATTGATTCATTTAAACATTTACCTTACCAGACAATGTGCTAGGTGTTGGGAATTTAGATATGATCAAACATAAACTCCCTGACCTTAAGAAGCTCAAAGACAAGTAAACAGATAACTACAAAATAGAGTGATAAGAACAATGATGCAATTGTTGAAGTAGAGAGGAGGGGCATTTGTCCCACCTGGGCTCAGGGATATGAGGGAAAGCTCCTGAGAGCAGATGGCATCTGAACCCAGCTTTCTGGAGAACTCTTTTGTTATCTAAAGAGGCTCAAGTTCCAGCCTCTTCTTCCTCTGATTGATCTTTTCTCTCTCCTTGTCTTAGAGGAGCTTGTCTTTGGAGACCTTGGCTGTCCTCCACAGATGACCCCCCAAGACAGGTGAGGAAACTGATGGAGTTGGTGAGTGTGAGCTTGCGTTGTATATACACGTGTGTTCGGGTCCTCACATAGCTGCGTGCATTCACACGAGCCAGATCCCTTCCCAGAGAGACCCTGTGACCTCAGTCCAGGGCTACAGATGTGGGTAAGCATCTTCGCAACCTTGCCCACATTCAATTTCCACAGCTAATCTTGGAGAAGAGCAGACCTGAGATTTCTTTGACAAAATGACAAATGAAGAGACAGAGACTCAGCCAGAAAGGGATTTGGGGGAGTCTCACAACTAGTCTTCAGTGGACCTGAATCTTTGCTGCTCTAGTAAAACTCTGTGCCTTAGACAGCCTCAAACAACATGTTGGAACAGGGGGAAGGAAACAACCCCTAGGACTCACTTTACTTTTTCAACCAGAACCAATATCCCCCTTGTTGGGGTGGAGAGGGGCTGATGCTCAGAGATCTCGAAGGGCTCTTTTAGATCATCTCACCTGCGGGTTTTTGATCTCTGATCGGGTGGAGGTAATTAGCTGGCCATGTACTTTGAGCCAATATGTTACATTTGCTTTGGACAGGCCGCTGGTGGGGCAACCGCTGCTGAGGTCACCAAGGCTGACTTCAAATTCCATCACCCCGTCAGGTAAGCGTCTGGCACCAAACTCAGAACTTGACAGAGATCCATCCATTAGTTCTTTTAATCCTCAAAATAGTCCTGTGAAGTGGGAGGAGGGAGGCACTGTTATGACCCCAAGAAAACTGAAGCCCAGAAGGGTGAAGGGACTTGACAAAGTTTGCCTTCCTTAGAGGCATTGTCTATGACCCCTAAGAATTAATCCTTTGGGCAGGTCAGTGAAGGAAGGAGAACCCAGTCGAAAAAGAAAATGGGACACAACACTAGAGCATTCTCGACTAGCGGCCTCTGGGATTGGATTCAGTGCCCGAACTGATAGATGCTGGGGCTGAGACCTCCCCTATCTGTAGGCCCACTGGTGGCTATTTTCCTGCTGGGGACCATTTTGTGAGAAGCTAGAAGGCAGTACAAAGCTCTCTCTGTCTTCCTGTTCCCTCAGATCCCATTCCTGCAGCTAAGAGAAAGCGTTCAGGGGCTGGCATTCTCCTTGGTGCTACTGGCCCCTTTGTACAGACGAGAGCTGTGTACATCAGGGGCTTTTTTCTCCTCTGTCCACAGGCTCTTCTGGCCTAAATCTCGCTCCTTTGACTACCTATATAGTGATGGGCAGATTTTACTGCATAACTTCCCTGTCCAAGCAACCATCAACTTGTATGAAGACTCTGACACTGAAGATGAGGAAGACGAAGAAGAAGAGGATGAAGAAGAGAAAGGGGAGGCAGATATAAAGACCCCAGAAGAGTGTGTGAGGGTACTAGGGTCTGTACCATGCAGAGCCACAGCTCCTCCCCTCTCCCCATCTCTCACCTGTTTAAACTGAACTGGTCAGAGGTACACTGGGGATCAGTACCCTTGACATGACTCCATGGGCATCGATTAGCTAGGAGTCTCCAGGCACAGTTCTCTGGACTGAAAGTTGGGTCCTTGAGCTTCCAGCTTACCCTGGTTATACCCAACTGTCCTGAGTCCAGGTCTCTGGATGGTTCATTACTTGGGCTACTATGGTGTGAACAGTGGGAAGGTCCTAGGAACTTTGGGGAAAAGAAGACCTGTGTTCCAGAGCCCCCAAGAAGCAGATCAGGATAGCACAATCTTATGGAGAGGGAAGCAGTCATCCTTCAGGGCCCTTTGACTCCCCAGCCTCCCAGGCAGCAAATAATTCTGCCTCCTCTTCGAAGACTGAGATGTCTGGCTTTGCCTCCAGGGGCACCAACACCAGATCCTTGCAAAGTTGCAGTGCCTTTCTGATGAATCTTACAGGAAGGAAAGGGGACACCTAGTGAATCAGCCCTCTCACTCCCCCATTTTCCCTGTTATCCACTGGGGCCTGTGTGTTGGCATGAGATGAATCAGGAGAAAAATAAACTGGACGATGTTTGCCTTTTTCCTGGAACTGTGCTGATTTCTTAAACTGAACTCTGCCCATGTTGTGAAGCCATGGGCAGAGGGGTCAGAGACCTGCTCAAGGCCAATTCATTGTTCTACCCTGAGGCCAGTTGACAGTTTTCTCCATGGAGATATAGGGCTGGGGCGCCAGCATGGGGCACAAGTCCTCTCTGTCAAATTGTGAAATCGGGCTTGATAACACTTCAAGGACACCATGGAAAGGAACAAAAAGGGCCCCCAAATGACAGTTTAAAAGCTGGGAGCTGGGATAAGATACCAAAGGGGATGGTGCTCTGCGTCACTTAAGCCTTGGAGATGAATGTGTGTATGTAGACAACGCCCATTGCACCTACACCAGCTCAGGCCCCCATATCTACCTCTGTCCCAATTATTCTGCAATGAATTTTCTGGCCTCCACCACTTTGTAATTCATCTTCCATACTGGCCACCAGATCAGACAATGTGCTTTCCATTCCCTTACCAAAATTGTGCTTAACTTTTTTTTGGAGGCGGGAGGGGTGTGCCAGATCCTCTTGGCAATCTGTGATTCCTCTCCCCAGAAAATCACACATGTATACACACATATCCAGTGCTATCTATTCACAAAATCAAGCCCTTAAATTGATATTCTAGGCCTCCCAATCATCTGGTACTTGCCTGTTTCTTCAAACGCCATCTCTCAACAATTAATCTATGCTGTCTGACCTTGAATGTGCCATGCTGCCTCACATCTGTGTGTCTTTGAACATACTGTTACTTCTTTTAGAATGCCTCTCCACTTTTGCATGCCTAGTAAGCTCTTTCATCCAATAGGATGAGTCCAGGCACCTCTCAAATGGGAAGCCTCTGTAGACCCTCAAGTGTGGGTTTGTTGTTATTATTAGGTGCCATTGAGTTGATTCTGACTCCTGGCAACCCCATGTGACAGAGTAGACCTACCCCATAGACTTTTCTATGCTGTTCTTTTTACTATGGTAGATGGTCAGATCTTTGCTCTGGGGTTGCTGCTGGTGGGTCCAAACCCCTGACCTGTCAGTTAGCAGCTGAGTGTGTAACCATTGAACCACCAGGGCTCCTTAAATGCAGGTTGTGGTTGAGTGCCGTAGAGTCAATTCTGACTCATGTTATTGTTGTTGTTAAACATCGTTGTTTCCGACTCACAGCAACTCTATAGAGAGCGTCTGAGGAGCAGCTGGTGGGTTTGAACTGCCAACCCTGTGGTTTGAAGTCCAGTGCTGATCCTACAGCACCACACCAGAAGACCATTCTGACTCAATGACCCCATAAAGGGTTACTGAGGAGCAGTTGGTGTGTTTGAACTGCCGACCTTGTGGTTAATAATCCAGGGCTTATCCTACAGCACTTCCCCGATCAGCCATCTGCTTCCCTAGGCTGTGTTTGATATACCTGTGTCTTTGTTTCACAGGATAGTGTCTGGCACAGAAGACGTGCTCAGTAATACGGAAAGAAAAGGATTTCCAAGTCATCTTAAGCAGTTCTTGGCAGAACCACCTCTATCTCCTTTCTTGCTGGCTTGCTTGTATCTTTGCTCAGCTACAAACGGACATGATAACATCATTGTTTCTTGTGCAGGAGCAAAACGCAGGCCATCTTTCTTTCCCTCTTCCCTCAAGTTGTGAGAGGGTGATTCAGATCTGAGCCCTATGTGGGACTTCCCTGAATTGGACACAACCTTAAGGGGGCCCCTAAACACTCACTGGTGCCATCTATTGGTCAAATTTTAAGAGCGTTCCTCTTCTAAGGCTGGCAGGCCTGTGATCATTTTCATTCCTTTATTTCAGTTTGTGTTACTGCTTATAAGTAAAGTGGGATTTATCATCTGCTGGCGCTGTGGGCTAATGCGTCAGACTGCAAAGTTGTTTGAACTGCAAGGTTGGTGGTTGAAGATCACCAGCGGCTCCTTGGAAACCCTATATAGGGTTGCTATGGGTTGGAATCGACTCGACAGCACTTAACAACAACAAACCCTTATGACCTTGAGCAAGTTACTTAGCACCTATTTGAGTGCCAGTTTCCTTTGTCTGTAAAATGGGGCTAATATTTCCCAGGGTTGTGCGGAGTCAATGAAATAATATATATAAAGTACTTAGTACATACAGTCCTTGGCACACACAAATATCACTCAATAAATGGTAGTAGTGGTAGTAGTTATTGTTGTTAAGTGCTGTCAAGTCGGTTCCGACTCATAGCAACCTGGTATAGGGTTTCCAAGGAGCAGATGGTAGGTTGAACCACTGACTTTATGGCTCAAACCAACCTTACAGTCAAGTGCTTATCCTATAGTATCAAACCAGGACTTCCTTCTATTAATGATTTTATAGCAGAAATGAACATATAAGCATCAATCTCCACTGTCTGCACCTGATTTCTCCGGTATCATTTGATTATTTAACAGTCAAAGCATCTTTGCCAGTGTTTGGCCACATTCAAAGACAAAACAGGCTAAAAAGAGGTCAAATGTGACTTCCTGGACCAGTTTGAATTCCTAGGACCCAAACCAAACAAATCCAAACCCACTGCCATCGAATCTATTCTGACTCACAGTTACCCGATATAGGGTTTCCAAGGCTGTAAATCTTTATGGGAGAAGATAGCTTCATCTTTCTCCCACAGAGCAGCTGGTGGGTTTGAATCACTGACCTTGATGTTATCATTCCAGTGCTTATCCTACAGCACCACGAAGACTCAGTTTTCTTAGGACAGACGTGTTAAAACTTATGTTTTGTGCTTTAGCAAGGAAACCCCTCATTTGAATTACATTGAATATAGAAGCTCAATAGATAAATCAAATTTCACTGGTGGCAGCTACACTGAGGAGTCCAAAATTCCTACCCTGGTATTCTTTCTCTTGTAAATGAACTATCTCCATCTCCTTCTGAGAGGAAGCTTCGGAGATCCCTAGTCTGAGGGAAAGAGTTTGGAAACTACTATCTCAAGGGTTAAATGAAGATGTCTTTGAAATCAAAGGGAGCTTAGTGTTTTAACACGTCCAGTGTTTGGGAGAAGGAAGAATGATGGCAGACTAGGTAGAAAGGCTTTGCAGACCCTCTGCAGCAAAGCTATGAGAAAGTGATTCAGAGGGTGGTCCTGGAACTCTGAGCTTCAGATAGAGTGATAAATAAGTGGATCAATTGCTTTCTGGGAGAAAGAATTGAACAGATACAAGAACAGAGGTGAATTCTGATTTGGGGTGGCCAGTGTGACCCACTGCAGCCAGTTTGAACAGGTATGAGTGGATTGAGAGACAAGAAATTACTTCCATTGCAGAAGAGACAAGGGTGTGATTTACCCCCCTCTTTTTATTCATTTCCTCTCTGGTTCCTTGCATTCCCCTTGTGACCAGAGGCATGACCTGTACGAGTAGACACCCCCAAGGAAGGTTCGGTGCAGACCCCATGGTTGGGCACATAACTGAAAAGGAAGAGACAACAGAAACAGACCGCACCAGCAAATTCTGCTCTAAATTAGTTTTGGCCAGCCTTGGGCTAGCTCTCACTAGAAGAAGCAGCTGGACAGACTGTGGGGAGAAAAGGGGGAAAGAAAAAAGACTGGTGATAGGTCAGAGAGGCAGAGAAGGACCATCTTGAAATTTCTCAGGCAGCTGTGAAGGCAAGAGTACATTAGGTGGTGCTGCAAATCACAGTTAATTTTCTGCTGTTGTTTGTTGGTTTCTTTGCATTTTCCCCATTTTATTTTTTGTTCTCCTGCTTTTCGGTTTTAGTTTTATATCTTTGTCCTTTGGCCCCCTTCTCTCTTGCAAGAGTGTTTTCTCTTCTTGCCTCACTCAACAAGAGACAGCAATTGAGGTCATATAGCCCAACCACAGTCATGTCCCCTTCAACTCCACCAACTGTGTTAGAATCGATACCAGCTGCTATACACTGGACTAACAACAACCAATGTCAGCTAAATTCACCCAGAACTGAACTTCGCAAATACCAGAGAACAGTTGTTGTTGTTAAGTACCAGCAAGTCATTTCCGACACATAGCGACCCTGTATAGGGTGTCCAAGGAGCAGCTGGTGAGTGATAACAGTACACAAGCTCATCTCTTGATCACATCCACCAGAAGGCAGTTGGTGAGTGCCTAAGAAGACCAACGTAAATTCATTAACTTAATACAAATACAACGACAGCACAATGCCTCAAAAGCAATAGACAATCTCTGTTCACATAAAAAAACAAAAACAAGACAGTATAGCTCAAACAGATGACCAAGAAGCAGAGCTAGAAAATGTTTTTGAGGAAAAAGAGATATGGGAACTAATCGAAAAAGAATTCAGGAGAATGATATTTAGGCATCTCCAAACTATTAACAGACTCCTGGTGTGCCGCTGTAGGATA